AAAAAAAAACCAAACAAACCCAAACAGACCCAGTATACAAAAGCTTTTGCCACAAAGATAATGGGGAAGATATTTGCTACATATACAACTGACAGGCCAGGTACAGTGGCTTATATCTGCAATCCAAGCACTCTGGGAGGCTGAGGCAGGAGAATCACTTGAGCCCAGATGTTCAAGACCATCCTAGGCAACATATCAAAACCTCATCTCTAAAAAAAATTTTTAAATTAGCCAGGCATGGTGGCACGTACCTGTAGACCCAGCTACTCAGGAGGCTGAGGTGGAAGGATTGCCTCAGCCTAAGAGATCGAGGCTGTGGTGAGCCATGATCATGCCACCGAACTCCAACCTGGACAACAGAGTGAGACTCTGACTCAAAAAAAAAAAAAAAAGTCAGACCAGCCACATCCCAATGAAAATGTGCCGCACCCATTTGCCACCCTGTCCCACCCACGCCAGATTTGGGGTCTCTGGTTCTCTCCATCCCTGCTTATCTGATGAGTGAGGGGTGGCCTCCGCTTGTGTCCTGCTCACGATGGTTGTATCCTTGTGAGGCCGGGCTGTTTTTCCTTAGCACCTTCTCTTGTCTGCAGCCAATTGTCAGCTTGCTCCAAGGGCATCCTGGACGCCGTGGTCCTGCAGGACAACTATAGCTTTGTCATCGAGAAGTAAGCCCATGCCTGTTACCCGTCCCCCCATGACACCCTCTGTGACTGCTGGCCTGCATGCACCAAGGCGAATCCGGCACTCCTTCTAAATTAAAGTGTGGCCTGGAGAGAATCCATGAGGGGTGAGGGGCAGGAGGAGGTAGCCTGGCCTTGAGGAGTGGCCATGGCGTGGCAGAGCCCGCGGTCCGGGTCTTCCCAGGTCTGCCACACATCAAAGGCCTACTGTGCACTTGCCGCCAGACCAGGGGCCAGCTGTCACCCTCCTGATGCCTGACCAGACTGTATTTGGCTCCTGGAGTCTCAACACCTGTGCACCTGAATTAGTGTTAGCACGGCCAGGCAGATACTATCAGCCCAGACACCCATGCTGGTATGCAGTGGCATGATCGCAGCTCACCATAGCCTTGACCTCCTGGGCTCAAGCAATAGAACAGTTCCTCAAAAAAAAAAAAAAAGTAGACTGAGCTTGGTGGCTCAGCCTGTAATTCCAGCACCCGTGGATTGCCTGAGCCTGCGGGTCTGAGATCTTGTCTCTACAGTAAAAATTAAAAAAATTAGCTGGATGTGGTAGTGTGTGCCTGTAGTTCCGGCTACTTGAAAGGCTGAGGCAGAAGGATCACCGGAGCCCAGCAGGTCAACACTGGGGTGGCCGTGAGCATGCCACTGCACTCCAGCCTGGGCAACAGAGTGAGACTCCAACTCAAATAAATAAATAAAATAAAAATAAAAATAGAGTTACTAGCCAGGCACAATGGCTCATACCTATAATCCCAGCACTTTGGGAGGCTGAGGCAAGAGAATTTGCCTGAGTTCAGGAGTTTGAGACCCGCCTGGGCAACTTTGGTGAGACCTTGTGTCTACAGTACATCAAAAAATTAGCCGGGCGTGGTGATGTGCACCTGTGGTTCCAGCTGATGGGAAGGGTGAGGTGGAAGGATCGTCTGAGCCTAGGATTTCAAGACCAGCCTGGGCAAAACAGCGAGACCTTGGTCTCTAAAAGCATTTTAAAGATTAGCTGAGCATGGTAGTGCATTCTTGTTGTCCCAGCTACTCGGGAGGCTGAGGAGGGAGGATCACCTGAGCCCAGGAGTTCGGGCCTGCAGTGAGCTATGATCCCACCACTGCACTCCAACCTGGGCAACAGAGCAAGACTCTGTCTCTAAAATAAACTGAAATGGGAGGTTCCAGTGTCATTTGGAGCATGGTCCGGAATCCCAGGCCACACATGCCACCTTCACCCACTCACATGGACGATTCCCATTTATAGAGGGGAAACTGAGGCTGTGAAGGCCTGGCCCCCAGGTGGGCGCTCACCCAGCACCCTGCCCATGTCTGTTTCTTGCTCTCTTGAAGGAAATTCTACGACCCTGGCTTCCTGGGTCAGGGGGCCGCCGAGGACTTGGTCGTGTACTACTCCTACAAGGAGCTGGGATGCCCTCGCCTCGTCTACTATGACACTCCGTGGAAGCCCGTGATTGAGCTGTGAGACCCTGGGGCACCTCAGGATGGTGGCAGGGCCTTGTGCTCCCTGGTCCCAGTGTCCCCATCTGGCCCTCCAGCCTCCCCCAGTTCCCTCA